TGCTGTTATTATTCACCCCTGTCTCCTCGGGGATATAAGTGACAGGAGAGAGACTCTAAGGCTCCTGGCATGGCATGAGAGCACACCAGGGCTCTCCAGCACAGGCTGAGTGGCTGGAAACACCATCATTGGATTAAAGGAAATGTTGATTTATGTGTGCTTTAACCACAGGCCCTAGATTTTCCAGGACATCTTACTTCAAGTATGCAGTCTTGCTGGAGTCTCTGTACATAAATTCACAAACCTTTAGAAGTGAAAGATTACTCTTGTCATATGGCTCTTTGGGATCTGGGGTTTGAAAACTCGACCTAGGGAGCTGGGTCCAAGATCATGCTGGGGACCACTGCAGTGGGAAATGACCTGGGGGACATTTGAGTTAGGCTCAGATGTAAAAAGAGACCATCCTGAGGTGCTTTTTCAAGTGATTTTTATGGCTTACAGCAGAAAACAAGCTGGCTGCTCTACTTTTATGTGAGGCGTTAGTCTCCTTGTCATCAGCCTCCTCCCGCACCCTCCTCTTCCTCCTCTTCCTCCCTCTTCCCCACCAGGTTGGATGTGTTTACCTCAGGTCCTGACTTGGAGAAGTGGGGGGCCCTCACAGCACCACTGCTCTCTAAGGAGACCCTGTGCCTGTTTAATCTGAACCATGGGCACAGAATAAGACTCCAGACTCCATGTGGCTCATGTCCTCAGAGCCAGGTGGAAACAGCTGGTGACAGGGTTGTCCAGCGTGCCTGCACAGGCTGGACAGAGGGAAGCAGCCATGGGCTGCACTACCATGGGTGCCCAGTGATGTGCAGGACACCTGCCACCACACCTCCCTGGACTCTGGTGAGCCCCTTAGGAGTCACTTTTTCATTCCCCCCAGGCAAGTGTCGCTGGTGGCAAAAGCCTAAACCCACCATTGCACCTCAGCTGCATGGGCTGGCGACATAGGCATGGGTGCCAACTGCTATCAGGTGACCCTGCCCCACTGCACGCTGGCACCCATGTTAGATTACACTGCCTTGGAGGATAGAAATGGTAACCAGACAGGATCTCGTCTTTGAGGAGGTGGGAATCTGGACCAAGAAAGATGTGAGAATCCTAGGTGAGGCTAAGGCAAGCTAGGAGGGATGCATTGCAAGAGGTCTAGGCAGAGGAAGGAGGAGTCTCCTGCTCAGAGGGCCCAAGGATGCTGTCTAGAGAACAAAGCCTGGGTCAAGTTTTCCTTTTTCAGGTCTGGTGTGGCTTCAGAAGGTTGGGCTTATTAAACTGTGTACATTTGAGGTGTGCAACATGGTATTGTGAGCACTGCCGTCGAGCTGTTGAGTGCATAATCTTCTTACAGGGAACACCAAAGCCTGCTTGGCAAACATGGGACATAGTGTAGCATCGGTCACTAGAGCCACCAGGCACAGGCCTGCAGGACGGAAGTCTGCCTGTGATGGGCCTTCATGCCCTTCTTCCTCGCCTCCACCCATACCAGCTTTCCCCTGCTCTGTGCATGAGTGTGAGGCAATGGCACCTAGCGTGATATCCTGCAGGTTAACCCGGTGATGAAGACGAGAGTCTGCCGCCTGCTCAGGGCTGAGTAGTGTTCCATCCAGTGTGGACACCATATTCTCGGTGCTGTGGTGTCTCAGGAGTGCAGATATCTGACACACTGATTTCAGTTCCTTGGCTATATATTCAGCCCTGGGGTCACCAAGTCCAGTGCTATTCTTCATTCCTTGTCCATTACAGCTCTGCCAGTTCACCTCCCCCTCCATATACAAGGCCCCTTTCTCCACATCCTCACCAACACTGCTTACCTCTTGCCTTTCTGCTAATGGTCACTGGACTGGAGGGAGGGAGGGAGGAGACCTCTCTGATCTCAGTTTGCGCGTCCCCCCCACACACTAGGTCAGCAGTGCTGAGTACATTTGCATACCCTGTTAGCATTTGTCCTCTTTGGAAAAATGCCTGTCTGATCCTTCACCTGGTTTTTAGTTGGGTTGTGATTTGTTTGCTAGTTAGTTAAACATCTGATGCTCAGAAAGGTCTTTGAATGAGAAGAACCAATACTTTTTTTTTGCCTGTTTTAATTTGGACATAGAACTCAAATGGAATTAGTTTTTCAACATCTGCAGTGATTTGCTGGATGGGCAGTGTGTCCAGGAGCGTGGTCGTGTGTCATGGCGGCTGTGAAGATGCCACCAACTGGTTGGCTTAGGACAGCTAAAATGTATCCTCCCTGTTCTGGAGCCAGAGTCCTGACTGAGGTGTTAGCAGAGCTATATGCCCTCCAGAGTCTCCAGAGGAAGATCCTGCTACTCTAGGACCCCTTGGCTTTGGCAACATTGCTCTGTCCTGTCTGTCTTCATGGGGTCACATGTTCCTCTGTGTCCTGGCCCACCCCCGTGCTCCCTCTTCCTGTAAGGATACCACTGTAGTCAGAGAGGAACCCTCCAAGTAGGACCTCAAAGACCCTGTTTCAGCTGAGGCCACATTCACAGGTGCAAGGTTTCAGCCTCAGCATGGCTGTTGGGAAGAATACAGTCGGATTAGCAACAAAGATGACACACCCTCTGAATCAATGGTCTGTGAACTCAACACAGTCAAGTCAAAACAGCCCGGTCATGTGTCTCTGGTCATGTGGATATCAGCTGAGTGAGCCCTTAACTCTAGACTTTCTGTTGCTTGGTGCCGGCCGCAGCTGTTGCCTCTTGCTCTCTGTCCATGACATCTCCAAGTACATCAGATCTGTGGTCCACAGGGACTGGCAGCTACCAGGCTGCACTGTGGTTCTTATACCAGCACCAAGCTGATGTTTCTATTCCACAACACACAGTGAAGACGGTGGTGGGATACAGTGAGCAAGGCTCCAGGTGGTCACATTTGGGGCATCCTCTGCCTTCAAGGTGGCTTCCAAATGCCAAGGTCCTGGTCTTCCTGGGTCCCCAGCCACCATAAATATGGTGCTCTGTGCTACCTAACCAGGCAGAAGTGCTAGGAGTTGCCATTTCTGGAATTGGATAATACAGCGCTTTAATTTCATAAACCACCTTTCACAATGGGCTGCACAAACAGTAAGTGGGAATTCTGGGTCATTATTTCAAGAAAGAAAGAGTTCGCTTTGTCAGGGTTCATTGCACCGTGGCACTTGTGTTCCACCTGGGTGACCAAGCCCAGGAAGAAACACTAAGCCACAGACATTGACACTTAGCAGGCTGAAGTTCCTAGTGATAATCTGTGTTCCCGCCAAAATCCACAGTTTTTCCAAAATATTCTGAAGTCCTGTTGGGCAGGCATTGCTGGCAGAGGAGGACACAGGGAGGGGCCCTGGTCACCCTCCTCGGCTAAGACACAGGACATTCAGCCAGACTGGTGAGCAGCTTGTGCCAGTGGTACCCAGTTGAGTTGCCATTTAGTAAATGCCCTGTGTTTATGAGCTGTGCCATTTAGCAAATTCCCTCCCAGCTTTTATACACAGTGACCTAAAAAGAAACACCCCCTCCAGGGTGCCTTTGGATTGTTTGCTTAAATTACGTTTTATTTGGACTTCATCTTAACCAAGCCTTCAGAGGCTGGCAGACTCTCCAGAACAAGGCGCTGTGTGTGGGAGCCAATAGGAGCCTGCCACGCTTCAAGGACCCCTCCTCAGACAGGGGCTCCGTGGTGTCACACTCGGGCACCCTGGCAGAGTGCTCGATGATTAGTTTACGATCTAGATCATAGTATTTTTATTATACTCATAAAGTCCGTGTTTCTCCACATTTTCATAATGGCTTCAGTGAGCTTCTCTACTTTCTGGAGGCACATTAAATCCTGATGTGGCCAGCACAGATTTGGCAGATCAGGTTTGAAAGCTTACAGCAAAAGGCAGGCTTTGGATTCTCCTCCTGTTGGATTGGCACTAAGCAGGGGAGTTGTACAGGTCTGGACACAGTTCATATTTATTTGTGGGCATTTTTTGTGAATCCCCCAGGAGGACATGTTGAATTCTGATATAAATGGTATAAGTGCAGTACCCTAAGGATATTAGCTATTTTTACCTCTGTGGGAATATAAATCAATAGTAAAAGAAGAAAATATCATCCACACATTTGAATTTTGGAATGTAATTTAGTGGGAGAATTCAATAACATGAGTTCTGATAAGAAAGCATTTTATATGTGAGATATGAGAATTTTTTTTAAATAACAGGATCTTAATGAGATTTTACATCCGTATTTAAAATGGAAGTTCTTTCTGACACCACATTGACATCTGAATGAGGTTGCTTATAAATATTTCTGTGAAGTTCACGTAACCCCTACAGGGGAAGCAGAGTCCTTTCGCTCTGCACATGGTATATGTGATGCCCTGTGCTGAGCATGCAGGCTCTGTGCCCAGAGTTGCAAGTTGTGTTTATAGAGAGGGTGAGTCGGGGGGTACTGCGTGTGTCCTTTCTGCATGCTGAATGTGTGTTCTCGTGTTTGTTGTGTTTTAGACCTGCTTTTATGTGGTAGCCGTGAATTATTAGATGGGTTTTTGGATTTGCTTTAAATACATTGTGATGTTTTTGCGTGAGTTCCACCACGACCCTTGGAGCCTGGTTCTGGGGGGCAGTGGTGCCACAGAGTGAACTTTCCGGCCCCCTGGACAGAGCAGTGGGCGTGGCACCTGAGTCCCACTGTGTCCGGGGAGGAGTGAAAGTTTCCACACGTGTCCCCCTGCTCTGTCTGTGTGCTGTTATCTAAAGTTTCCTCTGTAACTCAGAAGTTGGCGGGCTGGACAGTGGAGCCTAGATCAGGAGAGAGCTGCTGAGGGGTGGGAAAGGGGCACCCTGGTTTCTTTTTACATTTCATGGCAAAATATGAGGTGAGAGTATTCAGAGATGTGAAGCAGCTGCAGAGTAAATGCGTCCAGTGACCACAAAATAAATTTCCTATGAATGGCATAAGTTGGGACTGACCCTCTGCGTGGTAATTATCCGTGTCGTGTGGTGCGGGGGCAGAGACACCAATGCAGTGACCTCGGCCTGCCTTTGTCTGCAGATGGTGTGGGAGAGTGGCTGCGCCGTGATCGTCATGCTGACCCCACTCACAGAGAACGGCGTCCGGCAGTGCCATCACTACTGGCCTGATGAGGGCTCCAACCTCTACCACATCTACGAGGTACTGGAGAGAAGCCAGCTGCTAGGGTGCCCTGGACCTGCTGTCCCCAGGCAAGGAGCAGGCGTTCCTGTACTTGGAGAACCTGCGCAAGGCCCCCAGCCCTGGCCCATGCACCTTGAAAGGCTAGGACAGCTCCAGGTGGGGGGTCAGCACATCATACCCACAGAGGGGTGCAGGTGCCACCCAGCCAGGGGAACCCATACGTCCACACCTCATGTGGTTGGGCCCTGTGCTGTCCCAACAGGGCAGTCCACATGATCCAGCAGACAAGGCTCCCGGGAATGCTGTCATTATGCCAGTGTCTGACAGGTTCCACCGTGGAACTTGCCCCATGGGTCCACTAGCAGTTGGTGTCCGCAGCATTGGAACTTTGGCTTAGAGGAGTCCTCTCCTAGAGGATTTCTCTTGCTGGGTTTTCTGCCCACATGGAGCATGAACTCCCTGAACATGAGCACTAAGACAGTACCTGGGAGCATCCTTTCATCCCACTGTGCACTGAGTTTAGCAAGTCAGAGGCCCACAGTAGGCAGCAAGGTTGGAACCTCCCCAAACTGGGCCACACCCCTGTGGCTAGTGGTCCCTGAACCAGGAGACTGGGCTGGACCCTGGCCCCACACCCTTTCTGGCTTTGGTGAGTCTGCAGTTGGCACAGTGGGGTGTACCCCAGGAATGCTTTCTCTCCAGCCACCTTCGCTCACTGGCTAGAATAGTTCTTCATTGTAACATCTACTTAAAACTGTGACTTTCAAGCCCCTAAGTGGCCTTGAAAACACACACACACACATGCACACATTCACACCCACAGCCCTCTCTTGGGTAACCCCTGGCCATCTCTTGGACATGAGGAGGGCTCAGGCCAGCCCCCAACACATGTGTGTCACTTTGCACAGTGGTTCCTCTTCTCACCTTAAGAGCAGCATGGTGCTCAGCACCCGCCAGACTCACCATGTTCCCCCTGTGCTATATTCACCCTACCCCACCCAGGTCAATCTGGTCTCGGAGCACATCTGGTGTGAGGACTTCCTGGTACGGAGCTTCTACCTGAAGAACCTTCAGACCCACGAGACTCGAACGGTGACTCAGTTCCACTTCCTGAGCTGGTATGACCAGGGCGTCCCTTCCTCCACGAGGTCACTTCTGGATTTCCGCAGGTAAAACCCAGAGCCACCCTGAGGGACACAACTAGAACCAGAGGCTAGGAGGAAGGGTGGGCAGAGGCCAGGCTTCCTGCTTCTAAGATGCCACCTCCAGCTGCAGGTCACTTCTGTGTGAGGATCAACAGAGAGGGAGGTGGGGATGACAGGACTGGGGAGTGGGCACCAGATCTAATGGTGTTGCTGCTCAAGGGGAGGCATCTTAGAACTGGGGAAATACGGCTGTTGTTTTTGATAAGATTCTGCAACCAACAGAGACCTGAAGTTTATATTTCGTGGGATATTGGTGAACAGACCTGGATTTTTAGTTTGGCTGCTCATCTGGTTGTACAGGAGGGGATTTAGTCAGGGCAGGGCCAGAGTCCACCGTGGATAGCCTCCGGGGAGGCCCTCACACGAGACTGTGGGCATTCTTAACATGATTTCAAGGTTGACTGTTTTCAACAATCCCTTTTTTTTTCATTCATTGTTCTAGTCAGCCAGTCACCAACACATGTTCTTGTTTTAAAGTGTGTTACTGAGCTGTTGAGAGCTGGACTCTGTCTTGTGGAAGGATGTGAACAGCACACAAACAAAGCAGATGTGAGACGGGAAACTTTGTCTATGTGTCGCACATGGTAGCAACCGAGGTAGCACTAACCTCCTGGGGTGGGGTGAGGAGAGCTCGAAGAAGCAGAGTGGTCCAGGAGCACAGTGACCAGGATCCCTGCATCTAGTGAGGGAAGAAAGACCAAGGCACCCACACTGCCCCTCGCTACGCGTGGGTCCCGGCACTGTCCACCCAGTTCTGCAGCTCTGCGACCCATGGATGGTGGGGACTAAAGGACTGCCGTAAAGATGAGGTTCAGACTCAGCTCTGGGTTTCTTGTGTGTTATAGATTCCTAAGCTTTTCATGACAATATTTCTTTTGCCTTCTAGTCTGCTTTGAAAATCAAAAAAAAATTTACCTGAATTGTTCTTTGGATCAGATAGCATGTGACAGAGCTCAAGGACAGACAAGAATATGGTGTCACCTGTGACACCCGCCCCCTCCCCTGGGAATGCCCAAGCACATAGGGAAAAGCAGCCACATACACCCCACCCGCTCACCCCAGGGCCCTGGCCTCAATATGTTTTCTCAATGCAAATTTATTTCTAGCAACATGAAATTTTTACATAATTTCCTGAAGTAGTCTTTGAAAACGGTTATTACTGGCAAAATGGATGTAGCCACAAAGACAGCCACTCCTCTAGTGCCCGTCTTTGAGCTCATCTGCGTGTTTGTGCATATATGCATATAGGCACGCGTCTGTATCCATATATGGGCAGAGCACAGCCATGCCCAAACTCAGGTTCAAGCATCAAGAAGAAAAATAGGGATCCTGAAAATCCTATGCTCCAGGGTCTACAGTGTGCACCAAGATTTTGGTTAGAAAACGCCCAGGCCCAGCTGGACAGGCTCGTGGGGACAGGTTTTTCTGGCTTCCTACCATGTTTGGCATGTTTGGCTCTCATTACTGAGAGCCCTTTCAGCCTAACCCAGACAGCTGGGGCGAAAGGCCACACGCTCCTCCATGCATGGCACCTTCAGGCACCCACTGCAGCCGCAGCAAGGTGAGGCCCTTCTGGAGAACCTGCCACTTCCAGATGCCAGGGTTCCTCTGCCTGCACACAGACGCTGGCCTGGGGTGTGCTCAGGCACCCACGAGGTGTAATTAAATGTTTCTGGATCCCAGAGGGAGCACATTTACACTTTAAAGAGAAACTGCTAAGAGATAATTAGCATCACATGTGAGGGCTTCGCTTCAGAAACCTCTCTCCCTCTCTCCACCTCTTTCTCTCTTTTCTTGCTCTCTCCCCTACCCCTCCACCCATCTCTCTCTGTCTCCACCCCTGTCTCTGTCACCTCTTACTGTGTGCCATGGCATCCACTAATGCTGCTCACTGTAAAAATGGACAAACCCTTACTTTGCCAGCTAATTAGCGGTGGCCAGTGTCATTTTTGTGATGTTGCAGCTAGTAATATGAGCCCAGTTGCATAGTCACAAAAGTGATCATTGGAAACTGTGACTGCTGCGGGGACATGTGGGGGACCCCGAACCACTAACGACCTCACCTTTGCTTGCTGTGGTGCATGGCGGGTCCTCCTCACTCGGGGACCGAGGGCTGGTCCTTCCGGTGACTCCTCCTGTGCCACCTGCTCTTGGTGCTGGAGCCCTCTGGCTCGCTGGTGAGCATCTGAGAGTCCTGGGACGCTGCGAGCCACTCACCTCCATGAATAACCTGCAGCCTCGATGAGCAGCTTGGCTCCCTGTGCGGTGGTTTTGCTTTTCTATCTGCGATGTCTCGCGGTGTGATGATCGAAGTGCATGATTCTGTGTAAATAAAGTTCTTAAAGTACCCCGCGGCCCACTCCCACCATGCCCTGGACTGCTTGTGGTTCTTTGTAAGTGGGTCTGGCATGGGGTGGGGGGCTGGCACGGATGTCAAGACAGCAGCAGAGCCTCACAGGGCCACTGGAGAGGGTGACATCCTAAACACACCACAGGAGTGATGCAGGGGTGCAGCCTCCACAACACTTGTTGCTTTTACCAGCCTCTGACCCAGGGTGACACTGAGTACACTTTTCCAAAGAGAGTCTGAGCAGGCTGGAGATTTAGCTCAGTGGTTCTGCCACCTACCTCACAAGCACAAGGACCCAAGTTGGACCCCGGTATTAAAAACAAACAAACAAACAAACCAAAGAGGGTCTGAGCAACACAAATGGCCACTGCCACTGGCCCATCTTCTTAAACCAGTGCAGTTTAGAGGGCATCTGGTTTGTGGACCGGTGGTTTTTGAAGTGCCTTCCTTTATGCTTGGTCCCATCAGAAGAAAGTGAGCACAAGCTGGTGCCAGGGAAGGAATATGAACATGCAGACATTGCCTATAGTCTGTGCAAACATAGGACTAGCCAGGAAAAGCCCAGGAAGTCCTCGAGGGAACCCATGTTAGCACAGCCCAGAGATGAGAGGTTTCTGTTTGAAGGAGAATGGGGCCTGCAGGCTGAGGCCACTGATTCCGTGCATGTACTCAATCTTTTTTGGTGCTGGGGTTAGAGCCCAGGCCTTGCATGCACTATGCAGGAGCTCACCACTGCCCCATGCAGTCTTTATGCAGTGAGGGGCTTTGCCCTTCTCACACCAGGTACACTCCTGGGGTCTAGGTCGGTTTGCTACCACTGAGTCAGGAATGGGTAAGTTTAACAGTACAGACCATTGGGTCCATTTTTCCATCTGTTTCTCACGCAGTGTGCACTGAAAGCCAGGAATGGCCCTGGTGGAGAAGGCTATGCAACCAAAAGGACATTGGCTTGTTTTACCTGTGTCCCCTCTTTAAAGCGTCACCAAGTGGTCCGAAAGCTCTAAGATGCCGCCCATTGCACACATCAAGCCCGAGGCTGAGCAGGGCTTTGGATGCGACCTGTCTGCAGGTGGGCGCGTCTCATCTGGCTCTGCAGCCTACCCCTCCACTCTGCACTGTGGCCTGGGTCGGGCTCAGACTCGCCTCAGAAGTTCCTCATGCTGCTGACTCCATGGAGGAAGTAGGGAAAGGGAAAGAGCCCTCTGATGCAGGCCTGCGTGATAGAAGCATCTGCTCCCACCTGAGGCATGGGATGCCCGCCCCTCCCTCCACCTACTCCTCAGCCAGAAGCCTGCACTAACCGTCACTTGACAGTCACAGCACTGAGTAGCAAACTTTTTCAAAGAAACATGATGGTTCCAATTTGTAGTTCAAGGGAAAATGTTTTTTCTGTACCATCATCTTTTTAAATCTGAGTCTCTAACTGTAGGAGCTCCTACAGCACTTCTAGAACAATGTTCCTCGCCCATTCTCCCTGCCAATAAACTGAGATCCTGCCTTCAGTTTACTTTATTAAGAAACATTTTACTGAGAACTTTGATGTGCTTTGTAAACATGTTTTGCTATCTCGTTGAATTTTTTAGAAAAACCACTTGAAGCATATGCAGTAAATTTAAAATCAGCCTTATTATTTGAATAGAGGCTAGTTAATGAAATCATAAATACATTCTCATTGTTAATTTTCATAACCTCTGCTCTGAAAGCTGCAAAATAGGGCTGTTGTTAAGGACACAGATTTTTGTAAATGGGAAACACTATCTTGAACTTAGTGGAGCTTCTCCACAATTTAGATCTCCTTACCCAAGACTGATAGGTGAGCAGAGTTCCTGGAATGCTGTTTTAGATGATACAGTAATAGCCTATTTCAACATGATGTGTAGGGTGTACAAAATCCTTAGCATAAATTGCCCAACGCAGAAGTTCAGTGAAGCATTGACACAGCCATGTCACACCGTGCTCAGACCCCTCAGAGCTGGAGAGGGGAGGAGGAGGAGTGGGGGAAGGGCAGGGCGCTCGGGCTGGTGGTCTCCCAGGGACCCAGGCTAAAACCCAAGAGCTAGGACTTGCAAAGAGGAAAAGTGCTGTGCAAGTGTAAGAACTGTTTTTGAAAGCTCTGTTTAATAATATTGAAATGTCTTGGAAATTGTATGTGCAATTGTTATTATTCTCTGTGCAAACAAGCAGTTGCAAATTGATTTTGGGGGGCATATAACTGCTGCCTTGGCTTAGAAGTTATTTATTTTGGAGAACATATAGTCTTAGTGCATCACTGTAATTTTTATCTCTTTCTATTTCAGAAAAGTAAACAAGTGCTACAGGGGCCGTTCTTGTCCAATAATCGTTCACTGCAGGCAAGTACAACTTTAATGTGGATTAAAAAGTTGTCACTATGACTGAAGGAACCAGTACAGTTAGTATAGAAGCTGGACTTTCTTAGTGAATATATCTCCCTGGCATATCTAAGAGAAACCAAAGATATAAATGCAATCGGCTCTGCCACCTGTCTAAAAAAAAAAAACTGCTCGTCTATCTCACCGTGCCTGGAATGGTGTTTTCTTTCTACCAGAGCCACATCCTGTACCATCATCTATTTCCAAAGGTTTCTATCCCATCACCTTTTTTTTTCCTAAATCCTCTTGGTACTACAAAACTGAGAGAGGTGTTTGATCAGCCTCTGGAGGTGGCTTGGCAGAGATGGGGGACCATGCAAGCACCAAAGGTGCCCAGCCCAACTTCAAAGAGGGGACAGCACCTGTCATCACAAGAGGCACAGCGCCTGCAGGTCTTAATGTGGTATCTGGGCCTTTGGGTAGAAGAGCAGCCCATATCTGTGACACACACCTGGAAGAGAGGATCCTTGCAGCTGAGACGAAGTGGAGGGTTGTATCCACCAGACTCAGTACTCAGCTGTTTGTGGTATGAAACTCATACTCCACTTTCCAGAACTTCCTCACAAAATGAGTCTTTCTGCTAGGAATAAAAAGGAAACTTGTGTCCAGAGGTCAATCCCAGATCTCTCCAGGTGTATACAGATGTGCACTAACGCCTGTCTGTGAGGGGAGACACCTCTGTCCCCTGGGCTCCCTGTAGACAATGATCATTCACCCATGGGTACGGAGCCAGCCTCCTTCTCTGGAAGGCTCCCAAAGTACCTCTCAGTGGAGCTGTGTGAACACTCAGGACAAATATGTGGGCCACACAGCAGGAGAGGGCAATCTGTGACCTCCATGACAATGCAAGTCTGGACGAAAGCACAGGTGTGAAGTGTTTCTCCTTCTGACCACGGCTGCTCAGTGTGAAAACCAAATGCAGGGGCTTTTCACTCTGAAAGACCAGCCAGCCGGCTCACCTTAACTTCTAGGAGGACTCAGCACGCCAACCAGAAGCTAAAAGAGAAGCAGCTTGCCAGTACTTTTTTTTTTTTAACTACTGGGGGTGGAATGCAGGGCCTTTGCACTGAGCACATCTTCAACCCTTTTTAATTTTTATTCTGAGGCAGGATCTTGCTAAGTCATAAGTTGTCCAGGCTGGGCTCCAGTTTGCAATCCTCCCCCTCAGCCTCCCACAGTGCTGGATTCCAGGACTGTGCCACCACACCTGGCACCAGTTATATTCTTCTTGAAGTCTCAAAATGGAACTGTTCAAGCTTTCCTTAAAGTCACCCTGGTTCCAGTAGGGGTGACAATGGGAATGTCCTCCCTGTACCAACCAACATCACAGAGATGTTTTGTCTCAGAGCCTGTCTCAGTCCCTCAGCGACACATCCACATGGGGAAGGAGTGGTACACACACTTCTCACCAGAGGGTGACAGAGCTCTTTACCTCCCAGAAAAGGAACTTTCATTCTCTTCAGCTGGCTGTTGAGACAGAATTCAAAACATTTCTACAACTCCAGTCCACATGGTAAATATACCCATTCTGGCTGGTGAAGCCAGGACCAGACCAAATGAGAGCCCCTTTCAAGATTGTGATTCAGAAACAAATACACATATTTTCACTTCTGAGAGGAAGGACACACACATGCCCAGGATCTACATGCCCTCCAGGGTACAGGGGACAGTGTCTTTCAGGCATTTTGAATATTACACCATCACCTCTGACACAGCAGTACAGTTCTTTATTTCCTGACAAAATTTAGCCCATCTTTGGACAGAGGGTGGAGGAGAAGGGAAATGCACCACACTCAATGGCTGATTCCCTAGAGCCTCTTGCCTCCCCTCTCCCTCACCAGTTCCCCCACACCCCCAGGAACATAAAGGCTTTAAGGGTGGCCGGCTTATGGGGATAGACAGTGTTCTCACTCTCTCTCCTTCTGTTGACAGCGATGGCGCTGGCAGGAGCGGAACCTACATCCTGATCGACATGGTTCTCAATAAGATGGCCAAAGGTGAGAGCGCACGTCTGGCTGCTTTGTTGTGGCTCAGAGATGGGAGGCGTTGCCACAGCAACATGGGGCATAATACTCACTGGAGGCCTTGGAGAAAATCAGCTGATTGTTGTCCCTTTCCTGAATCATTTGAAGGCTGTTTACCACGCAGCACATTTATGTTTGCAGTTGGGCCTTTGTTGTCAGCTTGCATATACTGAGCACATAGTAGGGCTTTGATAAGAATCTAGCACATTTGCTCTGAGATTCTGTCAGAGCAAGGGACAGCATAGCTCAAATCTTAAAAGACCGCAGCAGGCTCAGACATCCTTAGCTCTTCACTGCTGTTAAAGTTGTGTTTGCAGAAAAATCTCTGGTGGTCACATCATCCGATGTAAATTCCCTCATCTCAAAGGAATTAACTGCAGTGCCAGGGATGGAACCCTGGGCTTTGTGCATGCTAGTCAAGCCCTCTATCACTGAGCTGTGCCCTCAGACCCCAAATTCCCCTCTCAGAATGGGTGCGATATCCAAGCAGCAACATTGGCCATCAGGGACTGTTAGAGAGAGCACAGGGCCCAGCGCCCTACAAGGAAGCAAGGGGCGGAGCTGTCCTAGCTTCTCCAGGAAGGTGTGATGGGGAAGGTGGCCTCTAGAGTAGGCACTGAGTCACAGTGAGTGCACCCTGGATTTCCACACCCCTCACCCTGTGCCCAGGCCTTTTCCAAACACTGCTTTTCCTGTGGCACCTGTTGAAATCCAAGATCTTGGGAAACAGAGTTGGGTAGGGCTTTGCAGTCTCCCAGGGCTCTGAACACACACAGGCCATGGAGAGATCACCCCTCCGTGTGGGGTGTGCTCCCCCTCCTTAGGCCTAGGGTGTGGACCTGGGTTTCCACACATGGCACACAAATGCCACGGTAGGCATCTTTCTGGCTCCATTTTCTTCTGGCAAAAACAAAGCCAGATCCCTTTTTAGCTGTGGACGCAGATGTGTGGAGAGGGAACAGAAGCCAGTAAGTCACATAGACCTATGGTCAGGATGAGTCCCCTGAAGTTCCTGGTGGCTGGAGCCAGACCACAACACCCTCTTCTTCCTCTGCCGTTGCTGGGGACACATGAAGCTGGTTTCTGTGCCACCTAAATTACCTGAGTGTTGGAGATGTGCACACTGAGCCAGGATAAAACACAAGCTCTCTGTTATTGCTGTTAATGCTATCTTTTGGTTTTAGAACATAACACAATCCCAACTTTTAGTTCAAAGTCATTCTGTCTTTGTTAATGCTCCTGTCTACTTCTTGAACACCCTTTCTTTTGCAAATTGGAGCTCAGTGCTATAGACAGAGTTTACAATTCTTCTTTATTACCTACCCTCCCTCGCTCTCAAACGTATTTTCCTTTTATTGTTCAAAATACCTCCAGAGTAAGGCGGACCATTTCACCTATGCCTATCACGGCAGTGTCGTAAACATTCGTAGCCTACTGGAAAGGGACACTTGCTCCTCCACAAGGAAGGGTGCGGAGTAGGTGCTGCGGATGATGTGGGCTGCATGGAGCTCCTCCATGACTCCAGGTGGAGTTCAGGGGGCACAGGATCCCTCCTGAGAGAGCACAGAGAGACTCTTTCTGCCAGCCCAAAGGGCTGGCTTTGTCCGGTGCTACTGGCTCACCGTACTGTGCAACTGTGCAGCATGAGATTCCATTCGAAGTGTGGGCTTGGTGTCCCGCAGTGCAAGCCCAGCCGTGTGGAACAGGCCAAGGGGCGGCTGTAGCTTTCTCTGAGACTGCTCACCCTCTCTCTGCTCCTGACCTGCTCCCCTTCCTGGTGTGAAATCCCCTGACCCACCCCGTGGTCTCTGGAGAGATCAAAGGGCGGGTGGCCTTTCCCAGGCCGCCCCCAGAGGCCGCTGGGGTTTTGTCCCGTGCTGCCGGCCCTGCCTTCTTTGTCTGGCCTGAGAAGCTGGAGGCCCACGTTGCAACCCAGCGTTCATCAAATGATCAAAGGCCCAAAGCCCTGGACACGAAGCCTTTCTTCCCGTTTCCCTTTCTTGAAAGGAATGAATTGTGCAAGCTCCCAAAGAATGCTTTGCAACTCGCTCCTGTGCGCCCCGCCTGTGTCCGCAGCTCTGTGGGTTAGGCACGTCCAGAGCCCAGCTGTGTGGAGTCGGGCAGGGCTCACTCAGCCTTTCAGGGATTAAGGCAGGGCTGATCATGAGGCCTGAAGAACAACCATAGAATCATTTCAGAGCTCTTTCCACTGTGGAGTTTATTAGCAAGCAGACAAAGACCCACTTGGAAATCAAAGCAGAAGGCTTGCACTCTGTGGAGGACACGGTGGTGGGAAGTGGGGCCTGCGGGTGTCGCTGCTGTTGGGACAAATAGGGTCCTGGCAGCTCATTCCCCTCTTTTTGAGAGGCTCGGCTCACACCCAGCAGAAGCTGATTCCAGCCGAGCTGCCCTCCACGCGCACTTTTCATTTCCAGCCATCCTACACCTCCAAGCCCAGAGCTTTTTAGTCTCCTCACGACTCCTTGGCTAACCAATGGCCAGGGTCCAGCAGCGTGAGGAGACAGGCAGCACAGCTGGGGTGGTGTGGAATCCGGTGCCCAGCCACATTCCTGCCAGGTGGACATGACCCAGCCTCCCCACATCGCTGCCATGCAGAGCTCCCAGGGCAAAAGTGCAGGCAGCCCTGCCAGGTCACAGGTAGGGGTTTTACCACCCAGCACATATCCAGCAAGGTCGCTGCACCCAGAGGTTTGAGCACTCTCCTGGACCATCTGACCATATGCACACAAGCAGACAATGGGACCCCGTGACCCTAGTAGAGTCCCCAGCATCCTGGTCCATTCTCACTGCTTTCCTCTGTACTGAGTAAGGGACAGGGATCTCCCTGCTGTTTCATTTCTTCTGATTGGCAATTTGAGATGCCTCCCACAAGCAGAACCAGGTCCTTCACTAACTGGCTGATGAACCTGAGCACAGGGTCCACAGGGCTCACCACGTGGGTCAGGATTCTTCCTTTTCCTGACTGAATAATATTACCCCGCTTGCTAGAGCATGACTGATGGACATTGGTGGTGTTTCCACCCTTTAGCTGTTGTGAATGGTGACACTACAAACATGGGCTTCAGGCAACTACTCGATGAATCCCAACATTGAGTTCTTGGGCTGTATTCCTCAGAGCACAGCTGCTGGATCAAGGAGCTAGTCTGTGCTTAACTCAGCCTCCCCATGGGGCACAGGAGTCCTTGCCTCTCCCCATCACAGCTGGCACTGGTCTTTTCAATGCTGTCATCCTGGGGGTGCAAGGCAGCACCATGTGTGGCTTTGGTCTGTGTCTCCCCATGACATTGAGCACCTTCCTGTGTGCTTGTGGCTTTTTGCCCAGCTGCTGTGGAGCAATGTTGGCTCAGCCCCATGCTCTGCATGGGCAGTGGTCTTGCTTCAGGGGTCCCTGTGCCCCAACGTGTGTATGGTCTCCAACGTGGCCTCTGTGGTGTGAAAGTACTGGGCAACATCCAGGTTGCCATCTAAAGACTCCTAGAAACTCTTCTCTTTCGCTGCCTGTGGTGTCGCTGCTGCATCCAAGGTCTTGAAGCCCCACTCCCTCATGAGAGGTGTTGGCTTCAAATCAAGCGGCTGAGTAGGGCATGGGAGGTGGCTGGAAGGGAACCAGGGGTGCAGACCAGGAAGGCCAGCCACCCTCATGCATGGGCATGCACAGGTGTGCCCAGCATGGGGTGGAGGTCAGAGGATCTTTCTCAGTGACATTTATGGCTCCTTGAACTCTTAAGACCAACACCCCTCAGAGCTGTGTGGTTCAATACATGACCACCTGTGGCTAATTTAATTAAAATTGAATAAAATCAAAAAAAGACCTGACCTCAGGGGCACTGGGGACACTGACCATGGTGGGCAGTGCAGCAACAGAGCTGTCCATCGGGACAGAGGGTCTTCTGCAGTGAGCCGTACCTCCTGCTGTGGGGTGCAACCTCTGAAATGTATCCACCCCTCCTGGTCCTCCTCACATGGTATCTCCAGGATACTGGCTGGTTACCACTGCCAGTGCCTCACTCTTGGCCACCCTCTTCCTGCAGGGCCATGAAACACAGGACTTGGGCACCTGCTACCTGTGGCCTGGGCAGTGCAACTGGGCCTCTCCCCTTGTTCTCTCATGGAGTCTGCTGCTCACGGCCACTGTCACAGTCACCATTCCTTCCGAAACATGAGCTTAAACCATGAAGGTGTCACTAAGGGCCACAGGAACAGCCACAGCTTCACACAGGCAGACCGGTGACTCAGCACCCACTACTGGCCAGCATGGCTCTGAGACGCATGAGTAAGAGACAGAAAGGGCCCAGCCACTGGAGTCTGTGCCTGCTGATGACCTATAGGGTGGTGGAGGGTACTGGTAGGAGTGCTCCACCACCAGCTGTCACAGGCTCCACATGGCCCACTTTGGTCAGCTAAGGGACAAGGAGTCCTGGTCCTCCTCCAGGGAGGAGCTGTCCTCAGCAGCACCATGGGAACCGCCCCATCAGAGTGTTCTCCACATGTTTCCCACCCCTGAGTGTCTGGTGCCCAGTAGTGGTGATGAGCACGTGGACGTATGGAGCTGGATGTGGCCCCAGGCCAGATGGCAGTGGGCCCTGTGCAAGGGAGACATGGCTCTGGGTGCAGGAGCACTGCAGGGCATGCCAGATGGTGGACATACAGAAGGCCACGGGTGGGGGCCCAGGACCTGGTGATCCCTCAGTCTTTGGAAACCACAGTGAACACAAGCCCTCTGGGGTTTCTGTGGACTCCATTGCACCCACAGCTGCCACGGTCACCATGTGAGTGACCCCAACCCCCAAGCAACGGAAGCAACAGAAACGGCTAACCCTGACTCTGCACCTCCTCTCCTGGTTCCCACCCACCCTTGGCACCCAGAGACCAAGCCATAGGAAAGCAGAGCCCCTGGGGAGTCTGCTCAGGCTGAAAGCCGCAGATCTGGAAACCTGGGAACGTCTCAGAGA